TATGCCTGTATTCGAGAACTCCCATATTAGTATACAACGGGTAGAAATTCCAATGAAAAGGTTTATTCTATTTTTCACCTATACGAAAACATCTCTCTATTTGATCACCTTTAATATAAAAATCTAAGATGCTTTAAAGTAATCAAGAATACTTTATCATTGAATCATTGAGTTAGAATCAACAGTTGTCAAACCTCTACTCACTAAAATAGGATAGATTATCCGTTTTCTAGAAATACTAATTACAATAGTGTTCAGTTATCGTACGTATACAAGATTTGGAATATAAAATTTTAATCATTCAGTTAGTAAGTTTCGTTGGGAATTTCAGCAAATAAAATCACATTTCTGTTATTTTTTTTTAAGAAGTATGCATCATCTTTTAGAAAAGTACCTTTATTTTTCGAGATAAATCCATTCGTTATAAAAGTATAATAGGGAAGGAACAAAAGATCAAAAAAGTTGGTCTTGTATTCTAAGATGGAACAACCCTCAGTATGAATACATGCAAAAACCGTCTTGCCTATGGAAATAATCGTCTTAATTCACGAAAAAAAAAATACCAAGTAATAATACTCAAGGTAACAAACAAATAAGAGCGGTAGTAATCATGAGTAGTGGCTAGAAGTTGAATCTAGGACGCGTGTTTCGGCCTAACTGGGGCTCGTCAGCTCGATGTACCTGCTTCCTGGTAAGTGATACAGTTTCCACTAAGACTTGAACACAGAATCGACCAATTGAAATGCCAAAGACTAGTCCAATGGGTCATAACTATCAAACTGAAACCGTAAGCAATATCGACGCGTTCGCGTAGGAGCACATAAAGCAATACAGACCAACTAATTCACTTCAACCAATAACAGGGAATTTATAGGCAATAACATAAATAAAGTTAATGTCTGAAAATACTACCTGTCAAAAATATATTAGGTTCGTCTACGTCGCCAACTGCCTCGTCACACAATGTTGGCCGAAGTAGGTTCAGGCTGGAAAAAGACTCCGGAGGTGGGGTGATAGACTAAAACATGGCACCGTTGTATGATGTCTATGACTGTTGGTTTGAGCCATGTTCGGCGATGCAGACTAGCCGGTTGGGGTCAGCGGGACAACAGGAACCAGTGGTTGGAGACTCTAGGGGATATGGCTCAGAATCGATGTCAGTCACGCACTATCCTCATCTTAACGACGCTATACAAAATCTCATCATTTTCTCATTCTTCCTTTCTCACTTTAGTATTTTACATTTCTTTTGACTGCATTCTCTTATCTTCATCTTTCACCTCACTACCGTTCTACTTGATGTACTGGTATGAAGTGTGGCAACTCGGACCGTTACGCAGTAATGCCTGATCCTATGTTGATATTGATGATGATGCGGTTTATCTAAAGTTATATCACACCTGTAAGTCATTTGAAATCGAAGCGATTCGAAATGTACTCAGCAATCTTCTTATCTGTACTCGTGCAGTAGATAGTGAGCCACATCTATTGTGTATGAGTTAATCATACTACCTGGCTGTCAAGACTTCAGTAGGTGCAGCGGTGTTCAAACTTGTGAACAATGAGTTGAAAGTCAACTCCCTACACCAATGAATCACAGCTCCACCATAAATCAGTCACAAACTAGCTACAAGATATTTTACAAAGACGTCTTATTGTTATGCTTGACTTTCGTTATGTATCATCGACTAATTGTTTAATAAAATGGTAAACTCCTGCATAAAAAGGCATAGAGAAGCTTTTAGTTCCCATAAGACAGATGTAACCTGGTATACACACCTAAACGATGAAGAAAAGTTCAAGTGTGAACTTTAAGGTTCGAAGAACACCAGACAATTACTACCCATAATCTTGAGCTACAAATTTTTTCTACTATCTCAGAAGTGGATCACTTCAAGCTACCATACTTGATAGTAGCATGAAAAGAGAAACACAGGCATTAAAACAAACAGAAATGTCTGGCAAGAGAGACAAGAAAAAAATAGATGAAAGTTAGCAAAAATATTGAAAACTTCAAAGATGACAAAAAGGCGTGTACATCTGTATCATTGTGATCGATTTTGAGTCATGTCACCACTAACCACTGATTTTTTATCAAAATCCAAAGAATTCACCTAGTTAACTATTACAGACTTTGTTTAAAGTTTCCAAAAGATTGTCCAAAAAGAATAGCTAATTCTATAATCATTAATTTTACAATTAACCTGATCTGTTGAATACATATGGAAGGGTAAACATCAAAAGGTCCAGTAGTCAAAGTGAGAGAAATTTGCTACAATGAAGAGGAGATAAAACAAACTGATTGATAATAAAAGAAAATAGAACATGTGAGATGATCGAATAAATAAATGATGGTTTAGAATCTTGAAAGTGAGGAGTGAATATATCTGCTCCAATTTGATTGATTTCAGTACTGATATTGGGTGATAATTTAAGGTGAAATAGAACTTTGGGCCACGGCAGGATCCGAATTAGTAAACATCGGGTTTCCGTCCTGGTGAGCTATGAGACCTGAATGCTGACCAGATATTTATATCACTTCAATCGCCGGGTAGGAGATCCAGTGGTCGCTGGTTCGAATCCCGCCGAGATGCAAATTTCCATGTCACCTTCAATCACCATCCAGCTGTAATACTAGTCTGCCAAACCAAAGATATCTCACTCAGATAGTCAAAATGATAACCAGTATGATGCTACCTTTATCTAATTCAACTGGTTGGAAGCCGGGTCTCGTAGCTCAGTTGCTAGAGCACAGGGTTGGAAACTCGACGGCCGCTGGTTCGAAACCTAGACGACTCAAATTTCCATGTCACCACCAGTTACCACCCAGCTCGATACTAGTCTGACAAACAACGGTTATTTCAGTCATATACCCAAAATGATAATGTTATCAGCATATTTCTCAGTGAGTGGACATTTATCCATCCTTAGCAACTCAAAGACCTCTCTCTACACCTTCACAGACGGCTTACACCAACAGTCAAAAACTTCATACACTAGTGCAATGTTTATTATAGTCATCAATAACCAACTAAACAAAATTTGCACAGGAAAAACTACAAAAAAAATATCTGTAGACAAAAAATATTCCTAACATGACGGTATATTATCCCTCACCCAAATCGATTTCCACAAGAAGGTCGTAACCTAATTTCAATCAAATTATTGATCATGATAAATAACCAAAACGTAGGCAATCGTGCAACAAACATAAATTAATTCCTTAAGAATACATTTGTAATCAATATTTACACACAACAAAGTTCTTTATTTTCGGATAGTATTTCAAGCAAAATTACTGCTCAATTACTTATCGCTGAAATTATTTGATCGCACATTTACGACTAGATATATATAGTGTTTTCATTTTGTAAGTTTCTCAATTTTTACCCAGTATGTGATGTGAATCAAAGCTATATACTCGAACTCATGTAGTCATGTAAGGGTTCATGGAAAGTTATCATGTGAATCGACAACAACTAGTAGTGTTCACCAGGGATACCCACTATCACCGTTCCAGTTTATCAACTTCGTCATACAAGTACTACTCCACATTACCTTAGATACATACATCCGACTTCAAAGGGATTGACCTACTCACTGGAAGTCATCTGATTGACTTGGAGTTTGCAGACGATGTCGTCCTGTTGGGTGAAGAGGTTGACAAAAATCAGGGTTTTTTGGAGATACCGAGCAGAAATGTGAGTATGTATGGTTGACATGTGTTTCGCACTTGTCAAATGTGAGTTGATACTCCAGGACTGACTAGTCTGCTGTCAGTACTCCTAGTTTAATGATTGGGAGTGAAGTGGTGGAATATGTTGACCAATTCACTTACTTGGAGAGTTGAATTAGACCAAACGAGCTGGTTGATGACGAAATCGTAGCTGAAATACAGAAGGGCCATTTGGCATCTACCAACTTGTGTCACTTATAGCATCGATTGGCGATACATCCGACAATCTATCAAACAATGAGTATAATGTGTTGCAGTTCATTCTATCCTGTTGTACGGCTGTAAGACGTCGACGTTAAAAGTAGAAGACATGAAATGGTGATAGGGTTTTGATCATAGGTGTCTTCATAGCATTGTTGGCATTTGGTGGGATGACTGTGTGAGGTATGTTGAAGTGAGGCGCAGGGTGTTAGAGAGAATCGGAAAGTTGATTGATGAAGTTGTAAATTTTTGTTGACTGAGATGTCTTGGAGATGTACTGCTCATGCTGAACCAAGATGTGGTAACACACAGTGAGATCTCCTACTGTCGACCTGATATGTGTGTGTGTGTGTGTGGAGTGATGTGGATTAGATGGTTGGAATGGCCGAGATGAAGATAATTAGTGGTTGAGGACACTTGGTGACATGGCTGAAAGTCAGTCACAATGGTGCAAATGTTTTCACTCCTTGACATCTTTTAATGATTGAATAATCACATTGACCTTTATCTTCAAATTGTTTATTGTCTCACACTCCTTGATCTACTTTGATATTGCTCTATTTGTATTCACTTGTTCTTTGAGTACAACTGTGAGGTGTGGACTAGTCAAATTATCTGTCTGTCTGTGTTACTACTCTGATTTTTATCTTGAGCTCATAAACTTGTTGACATACAGATCAATGCGTAGTTTGATTCAAGAGTGCATCAATTGAAGTTGTTTATAGTTTATATTAGCAAGGAAAAAAGACGCGAGTAGAAAACAAAGAACTTGAAAGTAGACAAAAGTGTCTGGGATATGATGTGTTGAATAAAAGTAATAATGTTTCAAAACGAATGAGCGTATAAATATCAGTATTTTAAGGTTACTTAGATTTTATTTTTGGCAAACATGTTAATTATACTGGGTGATGTTTGCAAGTGATATGAAAATCTGGCCTCAGCCCAGATTTTTTTAGTCATCACCCAGTATAAATACTAGCCTGCCAAACTACGCCTGTCTCAGATAATCAAGGGATAAACATGGTAATTATTTATTTTTCTCTGAATTTACTTTGTATTTTAGATTGATCCAGGTTTGACTTATCTACATTTCACAAACAGATGTCTGTTCTTCGTGGTCAGGTTAGTGATAATCGTCACTTCATTATCTTCTCTCTTTTCTTAATGTTGAAAAGAAAAGCGTGTTAACTTCAGGAGCGAAATGTAACGTAATTGTTCGAGCATTGAGTAAACTGTTTATTTAGAAAATATGTTTGTAAAATCTCATTGAGGCAAAATGACTAATTCTGTAATGTAATGGGCACTGTGGTTGATTGAAATTCCATTTCAGTCTGTTTATTAGAAATATGACACAGTGAAACAGTAGCATTTACTGGATAACATCGTTTCGGACACAATTTATTGTCCATATTCATATCAGGTAACTCCACAACTTTAAGACAGTCTTTATATATTCCTAATTTTCTCTCCTTCTCTGTGATGACAAGGGTAGTAGAATTTTCCATATATCTGGGACAGGTGCAGAATCGTTTCTACCACTGAATGTATTTGGTGTTGATTCGATAAACAAAGATTCGGTTGTCAATCTCTCCCTCCACCCAACTAAGTTAGTTTTCAACACTGTCACCCAAAATAATCTGATTAACCAGATTCCTTGCAATGATTGTGAGGTCAAGTAGATAGGTCAAACCAGTCAACCAGGGTCGATTAGAATAACAGAGCACAAACACTTAGCTAAATCAAGATTAGTAGATCCTAATAAGATAAGAAATCTAGAGACAAAAACTCGGCTATAGCTCTGCACGCAATTACACATAGTGGGGTGTTGAAAACTTAGCTGGTTGCAGTGAGGGAGTGATTGATAACCGAATCTTTGTTTATCGAATCAACACCAAATACATTCAGTGGTAGAAACGATTCTGCACCTGTCCCAGATATATGGAAAATTCTACTACCCTTGTCATCACAGAGAAGGAGAGAAAATTAGGAATATATAAAGACTGTCTTAAAGTTGTGGAGTTGCCTGATATGAATATGGACAATAAATTGTGTCCGAAACGATGTTATCCAGTAAATGCTACTGTTTCACTGTGTCATATTTCTAATAAACAGACTGAAATGGAATTTCAATCGACCACAGTGCCCAAGTTTTACTTTTACATTACAGAATTAGTCATTTTGCCTCAATGAGATTTTACAAACATATTTTCTAAATAAACAGTTTACTCAATGCTCGAACAATTACGTTACATTACATTACGATGTTATCCAGTAACTGCTACTGTTTCACTGTGTGATATTTCTAATAAACAGACTAAAATAACTGATTCTGGATGTTTTCCTACATCATAGAAGCTTCTCCTTCATCTAATAAGATGTATACAACCTGCACGTTCTTTTAAAATACGCCTTAATATTTAGTGCTAACAGCTTTATCAAAGTCTTGGTTAACCAGGATTCTCGATATGAAAGTCTATATGTTGTAACCCGACCAAAGTTCTGTATAGATAACTTTACATCATAAAAAGGCTAGAAACATATAGATTATTTTAGGTGTGATAAGTGTATGAATTACAAATTTAAGCTTGTGTGTACACATATGATGACAGTTTTTATCGTATGTTTTTTAGTTATATCAGTCAGTTTATGGGCTTGGATTGAAACCACTTATAGTCGAGTTTTGTTCATTCAATCCCATTTAGACAATTTTGATCACATCAATCGACTTTTCTTGTGTGGTTTTTAAAAAAAAACCTTTTTGAACAGCTTTAATATTATCAAGATCATCATTGTGATCTGATATTATAATGTGTCATATGACGCATTCAGTGATCGGATATCTTCTCTTGGTTCTCTAAGTTGCTTAATTAGGTCACAGTTGGTCAAACCCTCTGTATCCGTCCCAATATTGCATCAGCCACCAACCCACCAGGATTGATCTGACTTTTCAGGTAAGAGAAATGGTGAACGTATTCCTGCCATTCTGAGATAAAAATAAACAAGTAATTTTTCTCCTTACTCATTTAATATTATTTTTAGACCGAATTCATTTGATTCAGAGGTTTAAGGGGATTTATTTATTGATTTTTGGTTGTGATTCATCATGGGATGGGATTAGTTGCAGAAACATTAGAAACCTGGGAGCAATAGATAGCTGTCTCGTCCTAGGTTGGGTCTCCTCGGCAGTGCACATCCATGACCCACTGGGGATCGAACCCAGGACCTTCTGGTTCCGCTTGCAGCACGTTAACCAGTAGCTCAATGGTAGCGTACTGGTCGTTGGACCTAAAGGTCCTGGGTCCGACCTCTGGAGCGTCCATGGGTGCACACTGTCGAGGAGACCCATGCTAGGACGAGACAGCTTTTCATTGCTCTCAGGTTTCCAGTGTTTCTCCAACTGGTGCCAGTCTATGATAAATACAAATCTGAAATCAAATATCATTAAGCAACAAACAGTGGAACAATGCATTAAGGCAATCTGTGAAAACAGTAGCTAAGAGACCAGAAGACAAGGGACTCTTCAATTAACTTAGAAATGTAGCTTACCGCTTGTATTATAATACTTTAATAAATTGGTAAAGTTAAACTTCTGAAAGCTGCTCCAACTTACAAAATGTTTATAAGTTATAGTGTGTAAACTAATTTTCTTGTTTGATTTACTAATCTAAAGAAAATTCTTGATTTAAGTGAAGTAGAATTTTCACTCGAATCAAACTTCTTATTTGATACAGTGTGATGAGTAAAGGTGAAATGGGGAACCTGGTACCCCAACAGGATTCATATACATGAACTAACCAAATGAAAAACTAAATCTAATCGTCTAGTTGTTTATTGTACTTGGGTGTTCTCTAAGAGATATGGATCATTGGTGAGGACAAGAGTTATTGTAACCTTAGGTAGTTTCACTTCAGTTGAGATGTATAGACCTGGAAATTCAATAGATATCATCAATTCGTCGATGTCAATATAAATTATTCAGGTTCTCAACTACAGGTGCTGACACAGATCAGGACGTCAAAGCCAGGATCGGAAAGACAGCAAGACAGACCTTCATTAGGCTGAAGTCAGTGTAGGGATCTACTGCGCTCAGCATAAAGCGTGAACAAGATCTGAATTTTCAACACTAAGTCAGTCAAGTGAGTCAGTCAGTGCTTCTGTGTGATGCTTAAGAGACTTGGTGCGTTACGGTGAGCATTTCCAACAAGCTACAGATATACACCACCAACAGCTGCCATCTACGCTCAGTCTATACTGAAGATGGATGGCCATAATACAAAGAATAAGCAAGGTGGAACTGTGGCTGGCCGGCCGACTGTCAACGAAGGAAGGAAGAAGCTATCATCCAAGAAATGTGCATAAGGGTATGGAGATGGATTGGACTGTACTAGGCATACACTAAGAAGACGGTTTGTGGACATGAGCCACCAGGCGAGGCGAGGCGAGGCCTGTGAATGGAATCCAAATGGGAAAGGATGAGTTGGGCGTCGGAGGTGAAGGTTACATGGATGCGTTTGTGTGAGGAAGAAATGCAAGCTTGTGTGTAGTGTTGGAGCCAGGTTTTGAATACTGTAGATAAGAGAGTGTAATTGAGACATGCTACTCAAGCCGTGTGTTCTGCTAGGAACCCAAGGGACAAATAATAATAAAATAAACCAGATGCCTCAGTTTTCTGAAGAATTTTTTTCCACAGATTGTATTCTGGAGTCTCAGAAAGGGAAAGAATCAGCTTTGTTTTATCATTTCTGTTGCTTTGATCTGCAAGTCCAACTTTTGAATAAAGTGTGTATTGAGTAGTCGATTTACATTTAAGTCAGTGCAGAGGAGCAGGTCTTCTACCCTTTTGATGTAGTTGTCTTAATCCATGTCTACCATGGCATGCCATTTTGTTAGCTGAAGCTGTATCAATATTTTTTTTCATTTTTTACGCATTTTTGTTCTCACAAACCTTCATGCGTAGATATGAAAGACTCATTTGTAGTGATTGTATTATTCAGTTGAATCAAGTTGCTTACATTTAGCTGTGAACTTTTGAACTAGCAAATTGTACGCAAATTTTGAGTCCAGTGTGTGTGTGTGAAAGACTTACAGAGTGCAAAATAAAATGAATTTAGTTCATCCTATAGTGTTCATTATTCACACTTTATAAAAATCTATAGAAGAACTAGTTGTATAAGAGTGATAGATGATCAGATTTGAAATGAGAAGCTACTCATTTGATAAGTTTGTGAATTCTCACTATCTGAATCGGTTGTGATATATATTACCCGTACTGTACTACCACTTACCTTACTTGAAAACTACTAGGTGATGTAGGATTAAATTGTTAAGAAAGCAGGTATTCTGCTAGTCTACTTATAATGGCTAGCAATGGAAGCCAGGACACGCGTTTCTTCTCATTCAGGATTCGTCAGCTGAAAGTCGAACCCACTAAACCACTGGGGTGACTCATGCCACAATGACCTGGTGGATAACGCTCTGGAGTCTAAGTACTGGGTTCGAGTCTTAACTGATAAGTCTCAAATAGGATAAGACACCTGTCCTGGATTCCACTGCTAACCATCCAGTAAACTACAAGGTAGTAAATTTCTGGGCAATGTCAAGGGATCCGCATAAGAGTCAATCTGCCAACTGGGGTCAAGCATTTCGATCCAGTATAACAATAGGAAATTACAAGTGTCAATAAACAAGTGTTATGGTATCTGATAGTTGGTCTAGCTTCTTAATTGGAGCTCTTGAAGTGATAATACTCAGTGGTTGGTAACTCTGTATAATGAAGCTGACAACCAACCACAACATTGTTTGATTAACCTCTCCTTCATGTCCTTTATAATACGATTATATTTTTTGTCATTTCATTCATTTGTGCTCTTGTATATTGGGATAACCTGAAATACTTGACTTTTATAAGTCTGTTTGGACTGGAATCAGTGTATAATGATGAATGCTTTCATCAGCAGAAAGCATGGGAATGAGATGACATAACGTTCTTGAAAATATGTATAAATTAAAAACCTCTGAAGGATTCCAGCTTTTATATTGAAGCGTGATTAGATTTGGTTACACGTTTTAATTAGCTGCTTGAGATATACAAGCTTGTTCTTGACTCATTTTGTCTAGAAAGGGATATTTGTTGCATACACTTAAACTGTTTAGATGATTTTGAATAGTTCACTTGGAGAGAACTTCAGAGAAGTGTTCAATATCACCGTAAAGATAGAATGTTCTTAACATCCGTTTTAAGACTTTTTTTACATTTTGAAATGTATGTTTAATTTAAAAGATTAGTTCACACTTGATGACTCGGGTTTGAGTCTCAGATGGGACATCAGTTCTGTCGAGATTGCAGATAAAACGCCTTGCTGATGAAACCTAGGTCGAGTAGGGTTTCTTACCGGTTGCTTCCATCCAACTGACAGGATGATTTTTTTCAGGCCACAAGTAAGTAGTATATATTCCAATGTATATTCATAAGTGGAGCTCAAGTGGATAATCTTGGTTGTGTTGTATTCTCTGAGCTGAATGGTTTCCATTTGATTGATCACTGAAAAGCAACCAATTTCATGTTGTCTAGTCCTCAGTGCTAACCAAATTCTATCGATCGTTTCGCAATGTGGTCACCAGGCTAGGAAGCCGAAGTTTAGTTTATTTTATACTTTTAGGTACAATACACCTAGATCCTAGAAGATTTGGATTTCGCCAAGTATGACTTGTGTCTAATGTCGCACAAACTCGGAGATCTACAGGCGAAAACTAACTAGTTGGCAGAAGAGGCTAGGTAGCGAAGAAGGGACCTCAGGTGAACGTAGAGAAGACGGGGGTGATGAGGATACTGAACCAACACCACCACCAACAACAACAAACTCCAATCACCATGAACCGGAGAAACTTAAAGGAAGTAGCCTCTTTCACCTATCTAGGCAGCATCGTTTCAACTACAAGCGGTGGTGGCACAGACGAGGACGTCAAAGCTAGCCAGGATCGGAAAGACAGCAAGACAGGCATTCATTAGCCTGAAACTAGTGTGGAGATCTTCTGCACTCAGCATGTGGAACAAAATGCGGATTTTCAACACCAATGTCAAGTGAGTGCTGCTACATGGTTCAGAAACTTGGCGCGTTGCGGTGAGCATTTCCAACAAACTACAGACATTTATCAACAGATACCGCCTACGCTCACTCGATACTGAAGATCAGATAGACAGAATAATAACAATAAGCAACAAGGAACTCTGGCTGACTTGCGACGAAACAAGGAAGCAACAACCTATCGCTCAACAAATATGCATTGGAAGGAAGTGGAGATAGATTGATTGGGTATACACTGAGAAGGCCAACTGGAGACATCACACTCCAGACCAGTCCGTCGAGTGCGACCCAGATGGGAAACGACGTGTTGGGCGTTTGATCGAGGGTGACATGGAGGAGATGGTGTGAGGAAGAAATGAGAGGTTGTGGGGAGTTGTGGAGCCAGGTTCTAAAGATTTGAGAGAATAGAGTGTAATGGAGACGTGCTACTGAAGCCGTGTGTTCTGCTAGGAACCCAAGGGACAAATAATAATAAAGGTACAATACACGAGAGGAAAATCTTTCACAGCGATGGCACGTCCAGGTAGGCGGTGTCTCGGAATTTGCAGTGCATATCCAACCCACTTCATATAACTAAAGTTCACAACTTCATGAATTGACTTGCCTGTTCTCCCTAATACCCTTCGTCTGACCTTAACATTAATTACACAGTGATTCTACCAAACGTGGAAAATGCCACGAAGATACTAATGATTAGGACGTTGTAGCCTCTTCATATCTTCTACTTTTAACGGTCATATCTCACAGCCGTACAACAGGGTAGAACGAATTCCAGCACAGTATACTCATCCTTTCATATATAGTCGGATATCTCGCCAGTCGGCACCACAGATGGGTAGTAGATGCTAGTTTTACTGGAAATCCAAACAGTATGATCTTTAGATGCTTCCATGTAACGATTTCTAAATAGAACGTTTTGTTGTCAAGTTTATTTTTAAGGATTATACACTCCACTGACGAAAGATAACATTGTCTTTTCAGGTTGTTAATCTTGTTGCAGCTTTACGTGATTCAAAGAGTCCTTACGATTTGGTAAGAATGCCAGTACTCACATTAGAACCATCCATTAAAAAACGTTCTACAAAATCTCGATGGCCACATCAACGTTTTGCTGCTGGTCTAGCACAAGGTGAAAATACATTTAATGATATTCAACCTTTTGAAAGTTATACTGATCATAGAATTAATAATATTCCATCAAATAGTATACAAACTAATCAACAATCAGTGTTAACTGAAAATTGCATAGGTAACCTTATTGGTTATGATAATTCATTAGGTGTGGATAATATTCAGCCTACTTCGAGTTCAACGCGTACAGCTGTAGATGATATTGTTGTTGTTAATGATGATGATGATGATGATAAACTGGAACATGGACTTGTCGCTTTACCGACTTTTAGAAATAAACAAACCATATTGAATAATACGTCTGATAATGGACAAATTGAAGTAGATTTGGCTGATAGTGCTGGTGATGATATAGAAGATGGTAATGAACAACGTTTCAATTTACGTTATTATAAAAAGCCATTTTTCACTTGGTTTTAATCAATATCATCATCATCATCATCATCAACCACAGGAAGGAGGAAATGTTGACAATCAGCAAAAAAATAAATTGATTTTATTATTTATACTATCTGTTAAAAGTCTTCATCTTCTATCCATATATATATATATATATATATATGGTATTAAGGGAAAAGTTTATCCAAAAATGTCTTAATAGCTTGTTTTTATTCATAGGAATGATCGTTTACACAGTTTACTTTCGTTTTTCTTGTTTTACACTTTCTTATATACTGTTTGCCAGTCAATCACACACACACATACACACCTGAAATATACCTTTTGTCTAATTTTTCTCTATTCATTTTGTCTATTTCATTGTTGATTACATTTCTTTTGACTTATCAAGCTATGAAATGATTGCTACCATTATATTGTCTACTTGAATTGTGTACAGTGTTAAAATTAGTTCTATACACTCATATATTTTTACGGTTGATTAACAATTTAATGCTTTTGTATTGTCTCAACTTCTACAATATATAATAGGTATTTGTAGTTGAGATATATAATGGGAAGGAATACTTCGATTGACTTTTGTACACATGCTTAAATATTATTTCTTACAGGTGTCATTTACTGATGTAATTTATTAAACAGTTTTCTGTTGTTTCAATTCGGTAATTGTATTCAATAGTTTATTATCTTTAATGTTTGTAATCTTTAATTAATATTTGTAAATTGTATTTATTTTGTGAATAAATTCAATTGTGTTTTAACTGAATATATATGAAATTGTATTCATTTGTATACTGAGTACTGTATATTTCATCTTCTCATTAACTGCATTGAAAAATTCTGTTATGTTACCAAGTTTTCCTTATTTTTCTGTTATTGTTTTATTTTCTGCAAAGTAGAAGTGAATATATATATATATATATATATATATATATATATATATATATATATATATATATATATATATATATATATGAAAAAGTAATGGTAAATTTATTCGCCTAGTTAACTAGTTACTAACCGGTCCTAAGCTCAGATAAAGAGGGAAGATTGGGTATAGGTCTAACAACCCTACCTTGTAAAACCAATCCAATCGTTAGAAAAACTTCAATGATTTTTATTCTGAAAGTTGATAATTCTTTATGGATCTTCTGATTGACTATTGTTGAAATTTCAGAGTTATTAGGTATGTTCATGTATTTTAATTTGAAAGCTGTATACAGTCTTATCATATAGTCTTTCTGTCGTATTTTAAACTTCACTTTCATTCATAGAGCAGATAATCTATGGAAGTAAAGTTCCTGTTTTTGTCAGCGTTATAGCGTAAAATAATGTTACAAATGGTAGGAGTTTCTTATAAGGATAGGACGTTCCCATTATCATCTTAGAGTATTAAATTTATCACTTAACTTTACAGAATTCAAGAGATTTTGAACATTTGTTGAAAAATAACTTCGTAGAGATATCGTTTGGCTTTTTCAGCTATGTTGTTTAGTGGATAAAGTTATACTGAGTACCTTAAGAAGTTAGGCGATGAGCATTAGGCAAGAGAGGTGCGTCGATTGATGAGATCGTGAACTTTAATCGACTATGATGGCTTGGACATGTAATGCGACGTGCCACACTAGAGGAAGTTGAAAGAAGGCTCAAGTGACTGGACTAAGACGTAGCACCTTTGGATGAAGCCTCTGACTGTTGACCTGATCCACGTGGAGAGATGTAGACTGTCTGGATTGGGGTCCAGGAGATGATAGGAATCAGTGGTTGAGGTCTCTTGGTGATATGGTTGAAAATCGGTCTCAGTGGAGCAGATATATTCCCTCTTTGACGTCTAAAATTTGCATATTTGAACTAACCTTTATCTTCGAATCGTTTATTCTTTCATACACTTCAATTCCTTCTGCTCTCATTTAACCTTTTTCTACTTGTCATCCTGTCTTCTGTTCCCAACGCCTAGATATTATCTACACCTGTCTTTGTGATCCGTAACGACAATTAAGAATCATGAATATGAATTTATTCATCCTGTTTCGCACCGGATGACAGACTTCAATGGGGTAAATTTCTGGAAACTCAAGCTATGAGTTTTTATTTCCTCTGTTAGATATGGGTTGATGACCGAACTGTAATTATTTACCTGAAGTCATCTTATCAGTATGACTAGTTCGCATGAACGAGTCTTTGGGTATGTGAGTATCCATTATCCAGTGCCTTTTTGCTCGTAGATATATGATTATTTACTATTATTTGTCTCTTGGGTTCCTAATGGAACATAGGGCTTCAGTAGCACGTCTCCATTACACTCTATTCTCTCAAATCTTTCCAACCCGGCTCCACAACTCCCCACAACCTCTCATTTCTTCCTCACACCATCTCCTCCATGTCACCCTCGATCAAACGCCCAACACGTCGTTTCCCATCTGGGTCGCACTCGACGGACTGGTCTGGAGTGTGATGTCTCCAGTTGGCCTTCTCAGTGTATACCCAATCAATCTATCTCCACTTCCTTCCAATGCATATTTGTTGAGCGATAGGTTGTTGCTTCCTTGTTTCGTCGCAAGTCAGTCAGAGTTCCTTGTTGCTTATTCTTATTATTCTGTCCATCTGATCTTCAGTAACGAGCCAGTGTAGGCATTTGTTGATGAATATGGTGCAGTAATTACGGTGACTCAAGTTGTAATTTTTGGCTAAATCATTAATACAGTAAGTATTCTGAAATGTTGTGATATCTGCGGATGGTTTTGGTAGGATCAGCCTACTCATATATTGGCTGCATTTTAGTCTTGTTGAAGAATGAATTTTAGTCCATCAAAAAAAGTGAAACGTTCAGATGTCGACATAGTACGTGACTCGAATACGGTTTCCCTGTGTGTGTGTGTGTATGTATATATATATATATATATATATGTGTGTGTGTATGTGTGTGACATTATTGTATAGTAGGAAACATAAGTACCTGCAGAATGACCGGTATACATTTTCTATCTTATATTGAGTAATATAGGTTCTCCTTTGCTGCGAAAAATGCCATTAGGATCGCATAATTGCAAACTATCCATCAAGAGGTATATCATCAATCAAGAGTAATACAATCCTCATCTGGAAATTAGTAAGTTCTTATCAATCAACGTGAAGTTACCTTTCTATCTAATTTGACCAAGAGGTTGACTCTATAAGGAAGGAGTCCCGGTTAAATAAACTGATGATGACGACTCGCTACATCTATCCTTTGAAAACTATCTATTCATGAAGAGTATTAACTTGGGTTATAGTATTCAGAGATCTCTTTAATGATGGGTACAGATCAACCGTATTTATGTTGGTGGTTATTGAAGAAGGTTGATAGAAGATAAGAATTCTTCTAGATTATGTTTTAAGATTGTAACTTGCGTAGGAGGTCAGATAGAGAATCAAGACACCGCAAATGTATTCAAAAGAGAATCAGTGTAAACGATTTTGGAATGTAACTAATTTATGAGTCTCGGGGTAATTTAATCTATTACAAAACTTACAGTGGAGAGTGTAAATGATCCTCAGAAAAGGCTGAGAAAGGTTAGTTTACCTCAGCAGCTTCATCTGAATCCATGAAAACATGGGAAGATATTTTAGTAAACTTTGAATTTTGATAAAGAACTCTTGTAAAATCCAATTACTTCTCAGTAAATCGATCATATCAAATAATTAAAGCTGCATAGTTATTTTACTATTAATTTAATTAATCAAAACAGTCATAACAACCATTTTCGTCAGTACTATAAAAAAACCTTACACATACGTAAAGGCTATTCAGTTTAGGGGTTTGTGGGGATTTATTGACTCATCATGAACTGACATGAAGACAAATACTCAACGATGACATCGGGTGGTGGTTGCGCTATGTCGTGAACTGACGGAAGTTGGAAATATCTACCATTGGATTCCTACCAAGTGGCTCAATGGTAACGTGCTGGTCGTGGAACCTGGAGGTCCTGGGTTCGTTCCCTGGAGGGTGGGGTCACGGGTGTGCACTGTTGATGAGTTCCATACTAGGATGAGACGGCTGTCTCTAGTGCTGTCAGTCTTCCAATGTTCTTCCAACGGATATCAGTCCATGGTGAATACCAACTTATAAAGATTATTGTTATTCGTCAACCCATTAGTTGTTAAGTTCTTTGGTGTCCACTTTCTTTTGTTAGAGTCACTTATGGATGACTGAGAAATCGGCGTAATCTGAGACCATTGTAAGAGTGTAATTCAAATCATAACAGTGGAAGGAACGGATTAGTTGTAAGTTGCGAAAATGTCATTCGAAGTTCATGAACGAAATTTAGCAAAAGCTTAAGGTATGATGAAGATAGACAGTCGTATGTATCTGTCGGAATTTGTTTAGATGAATTGTCGGTCGATAATGAAACTACTGTGTGCACAAACGCGGCATCTGGAATGATAGTTAGAATAGTCTTACTGGAATCTACCCAACTGATTTTTGGTTGCAACCTGAATCATGCAATGAATTATGACGTCCTGTTCTTACCAAGCTTTAGGGAGTGACAGTTAAATCCTATAGGTTCTTACCGCTAAGAACTTTAAAGGCCAACTACGCAACTGATGAGACAGTCAATTACATTTCTTTATTTTATGGAAAAGTACTTTTCCAGACAAAAAAAGGAAGTCTGATTGGTCTATTCAGCAGCTGCTCGGGTGGTCTTTAAAGTCACTCAAAGTAGCCTGAATATATTAACTTTAGGCATGAATTCCATACGTGTTCAATGCAGAATGTTGCTCTTAGGCGTATCTGCACTAAGGCTGTTTCTTACAATAGGGGATGAAGTATTTAACCGCCTAGACTATTTCACTTACCTAGGAAACATGAATAACAATTACGTTTAATGAAATTCCAGCGCATCTAAAAAAATTAGCTTATATTTTTGGCATATAACTTCATTTTTTGTCTGCTAGACAATTAATTGTAAACTAAAGGCTGGATACAATGCTGAATAGAGTTTTTTTTGATTAACTTAAAGTCTGTGAGACAACTGCTAAAAAACAAGACATATAAGCTACAATATTGTTTTCAATTAGATCCTCTTCAGGCTTAATATATATATATATATATATATATATATATATATATATATATATATATATATATATATATATATATATATATATATATATAATCAATCATATAGATTTATCGGTTGATGTGATAAATATTTCATATAACGGTGGGGATAATAATACAAATAATAATAATGAAATTGATAAAAGTGATAACGTTGACTAAAGCACATGGAATATAGATGATGATGATGATGATAAGGACCAAGATAGCAGAATGAAAATGTAGACACCCCAATAATCAAAATGGGTCAAAAGCTTGTGAAAATAAAAGTTGCGTAATAGTGAAGGACGAAATGAGTGGATAAATAAGGCCTAGACAAATGCAGTGGCTTAATGGTAACTTGCTGGCCACGGAACATGAAGGTCACGGGTTCGACCTCTTCCGGGGTCGTGAGTGCACACTGCTGAAGAGTCCCATACTAGAACGAAACAGCTGTCCAGGGCTCCCAGGTTTCCCTTGTTCCTCCAACTGATGTCTGTCTACGATGAATAACAACTTGAAATGCAGTAGGTATTGACATGATGGGAATTTTTAAAACTGCTAAAGACATAGGTCATACAAGACCAATTGACCACGGATTTATCTGAAACATGCTCGGTTTGTTGAAGAACCATTGAGTTAGGTATGTGAACACTTTGTTTTGACCTTTCAAAGACTAAAGTGGCTGAAATAAATGTAAGATATTTCTTATCGCCACTAATAGAAACGTTTTATGTTATTCACTTATAAAAAATTACGGTGATCCACGAAGTTCCTGATTGTTGGTTTGAACTGTGTAGGTATTATGT